CTAAAGCACTAGTTTAGAAACTCAGACAGTTCTGAGCACGAGAACAAGAGACAGAAGAAGGAGAGACTCAGAGAATCATGATGGTTGAGTTCAAATGGATTTCTTTATTTCTTCCAGCGGTGCTTCAGTTTACAGGTAAGAATACATATATCACATATATAAATGGAAGGCACATTGTAAAAAATAACTTGATCAATATTATTAAAGATTCTTTATTAGCTACATTTGATTTAACTAAGAAAACCAAATCTGTTGTTTCTAATGTGGTGAGTTTAGTGAACTCTTGGAAACTAAGGATAAAGAAATAATCGTCACTAACTATGAACATAACAGACATTTTCTCATTTCACTTTATTTTTCATCATTTTCTCAACAGCAGCAGCTGTAAAACGTCCCCTCTCCTTCACTGTCAGAGTTGGAGATGACGTCACTTTGCCTTGTGAAAATGTGATAGACGGTCAGCAAAACTGTGAAAATACTACATGGATCTTTGATGGTTCAGGAAGCAGATCAGCAGTAGAGCTGATTAAACTTGGGCAGATTGGTGAAAACGCCAAATCTAAATCAGACAGACTGAGTGTTACAGAGAACTGTTCTCTGGTTATAAAGAAGGTCACAGTCGAGGATGTTGGTCGTTATTACTGTCAACAGTTCATATCAGGACAAAAACAAGCTCCAGACTCTCTGTTTTATCTGTCTCTTATTATCAGTGAGTATTTCCATCATAATGTTTTCAGCTCAAACTGTCTTGTTAGAACAATATACTGAAACATTACAATAATTATGATCACAGTGATGAAGTTAACTTTACTCTTGTTGTCTTTCTCTCACAATATCTCCATCTTCACCAGTGACTGAACGTAAGGACGCTGATGAGGTGACGTTAAACTGCTCTGTGTTGAAATATGAACAGTTCTGTAGACACACAGTGAAGTGGCTGTATGAGGGTAAAGATGTGGACAAAGATAACAAAGACATGAAGACATCACAGTCTGTCTGCTACGCCGCTGTGTCTTTCCTGGATTCTCATTTTAGTAACAAATCAAAGTCTAACTTGAAGTGTGAAGTGACAGATGGTTACTCTGGAAAAGTGCAGCTGTTCACCTTCAGCCCTCAGTCCTCAGGTGAGAAAACAGGTGAGAATATGCTGAGCTGTTCAAGATGACTAAAACCACCAAAACATTTGTTTATTTGAGGACTTTTCACAGTGATGAACTTTACTCTTGTTTTCTTCCTCTCACAATATCTCGGACAACAGAATCAACAACAACTAAACCACCAGCAACAACAACTGAAAACACAAAATCAACAACCAATGATGCTTCAACAAAACTACAAGGTAGTAACTCATCTTTCTCTGGAGTCTCTCTGTCTTCCTGTCAGCCTCTTTCTCTCCACATACTGAACTTCATTATTTTACTTTTTATTTTATTCATTTTAATAAACGTTGTTGTACAAGTATTTTGTAATTTTATGGCAAAACAGAAAAAATCTTCTTTAATTAAGTCACTGCAAAGACTAAACAAACCCTTCATCATAGGAAAATACAGAAAGCAGAGCGGCCCTCGGCCTTCGGGGGCCCTATTGAAAATTTAGTTGGAGGCCCCTCTGACTGTCGGGCGTTGTCACTATATATGACACAGAAACATCTCTTGTTTTTAAATAAGACCCGATGAATCTTTCTCATGTTTCTAAACCTGCCATGTTTGTTTAGCACAAACACACCAAAGCAAATTTCTTGAACCTACTTGGCAATAAAGCTGATTCTGCTGAAAAACAATAACTCTATATTATTATATCTACTATGTTTGAAGTCAAACAGGAAACACATGATACCACCAGAGCTACTGAGCTTAATGGCAGTTCAAGAGCCAGTAGACACTGATGAACTTAGTGCTGAATAAAAAGACTCATAAAGTGATTATGACCAAAGCTTAAATCTTTAATCTTAGTGTTCAATTTTCAATTTCAAAATGGCTTTATTGTTCATTTCAACAGTAAACAAAGAAACATTATACCAACCTTAACAATAATAACATTGTCTCTGTGGAAACGGTGTGATGGTTTCATATTTGTGTTCCTCTGGTTGTCTTCAGGTTTTGACATGTACGTGTATATTTAGCTGCGATTATTTCACATCTTTGTGTTTCACCTAGTAGGTATGGAAGTTTTCCTTTATTATTTTGGTCTCATATTCAGGATAGGTTTCAGTAATTTGGGAAAATAGTTTTCTCTTAGATCTTTGTGTTTTTCACATTTTGTGTTGCTCATTTTCTATTTCATGTGACGTTCAAAGTGAGCAGATCCTTTCCTCTCTATGAAGCCAGGTTTGTCTCTGGCGGCCCGTCTCGATGGCCAGGTTCTGATCACTGAGTCTGTACGTGGTCAAGGTTCTCTGTTTTTTGTTGGGTATGTTTGTTGGGTGTGTAGCTTCTGTTTAAGGCCAAATAACACTGAAGTTTGAATGTTTTACTTCCAGACCTTTGCAAATTTATATATATATATATATATATATATATATATAAAATTTCTTTCCATGCACATTATTTTTTAGTATACATTGGTTTTATGATGTCAAAGCAGTTTATAGAATAAGCTATTTCTCTCTCTGTCTTCTTCTAAATTCAAAAACAACGAATGTCAGATTGACGCTTAGCTGTTGATGGAAATATTCTCTTATTCAGTCAGACGTCTTCACACAACACAAAATGATAAAATCACAAATAAAATGTCCTTTTTTATTCTCTTTCCAGGTTTTACAGCCACAACAACAACCAATGATCCTTCAACAAAACCACAAGGTAGTAACTCATCTTTCTCTGGAGTCTCTCTGTCTTCCTGTCAGCCTCTTTCTCTCCTCATACTGGATTTCTTTATTTTACTTTTATTATATTCTTTGTCTAATTTTTTGTTTTACATGTTTCTACTTTCTGGCATTTTTATTGCAAAACATAAAATTATCAAAGCATCTTTAATTAAGTCACTTTCTGGAAAGACAAAACCATTCATTGTATAAAACAGGAAATAGGAAGTGATCGAGAAAATTATTATTGAATTATTGATTATTGATTGTATCTCTCTTCTCTTTTGACGTCTAAAGTATGAACGTGAGAGCAACACTCATAACACGGTTATGGGTGGAGAAATTCTCTTATTCAGTCAGACGTGTTCACACAACATAAAATGATAAAATCACAAATAAAAATGTCTTTTTATTCTCTTTCCAGGTTGGTTGTGGCTCATCAAGGTGTTTCTGGGAGTTGCAGCTCTCTTAATAACTGTTGTTATTGTTGTTGCTCTCATCAGATGGAAGAAAACTAAAGGTGAGAGCAACCACAGATATTATAAACAAGAAGTTTTGATGAACCTGGATTTTTATTGTTGAAGCTAAAGTCGACTCTCTTTTGTCTCTTCAGGAAAAAAACCCCAGATGGATGAAAACACTGTGAGTTTTACGGCTGAGTAATCAAATGTTTCTACAGTTATGACAGAGCTGAATCAGCTGCTCTCTGACAGAGTCATCCAAATCTAAACAGCCTTCACAGAGCCAGTGTTTGACCACATGGAAGTAGACTCTGTTTGTTTGTTGTTTTCAGGGACGGAGCTTAAACCCTGCAGTGAGTCCAGAAAGCAGTCAGGACACGGTGAGATCTCACACTACACCCAGGACAAAGTTACACTCACTGTTTTTAGATTTGTTGTTCAAAATGTAGCTCTATGAGACACACAGTGACTCTTGAATCTAAGTTCTTTCTGCAAGAGAAGAAGTGGGGAGTCTGATGATGCAGCTGGACGACACCAGAACAGACCAGAACACAATCAAGTCCACATGTTACTGAGCAGCCATTATGTTGTCTTCTCTGTGTAGGCTGATCCTGAAGATGGTGTTTCCTACGCCTCCATCAGCTACACCAGGAAGACCAACAGTAAAGGCCGGGTAAGCTGTCTGATTGGTTCTAGTGATGATGGCAGTGAATGAAAACACTTCTCTCATTTAATGTTGTGTAATTTCTGTGTTGTGCTGTTTGTCTCTTTTCCAGGTTCTGGGTAAAGATGGTGATGATGAAGATGATGCAGTGACCTACAGCAGCGTGAAAGCTTCCTCTTCTTCTGCTGGAGCCTCAGCTGATCCCAGCGACCTCTACGCCACCGTCAACTAACCAAACAAATAAGAGACCACAGTGTAGTTACAGCTCATATCATTACAGGTAATTTACACTGAGAACTGATAAATGTTTTATTATTTGAATTATTTTATGATAATATATGGGACATTTAGCTTGATGAACTTGCTGTCAGGCACTTTAATGTGCTAGTGCTGTGTTGTAGTTAAACATGTATTAGTTTTTACTGTTATTTCTGTATCAGCTGTTATTGTTTGATATGCATGTCATTTTAACACCTATATTTCTGTAGAGGTTTAACACCTCCAGAGCTCTTTGCACCTTCTTCTTCTTCGTCTTCCTTTCATGTGGTGAAACAGGTCATTGTCACAAAAACAAAGTGTGAACTTGAGGCTCAGTGTGAATCTAAATATAGTTTATTCTAACTGTCATGTTTCAGAGGAAACTGGCAGTGGTGAAGCCGTTCCTACGAGTCAGAGACAGGAAATATAAAGACCAAGTTCAGTTTTTTCTTGATCCAGGCAGGCAGAGTCAGAACAGCAGGTAATAATGCTGCATTTGACACATGAAGTTGGATTTTCCCAGTTTCCAGTCGTGAATTCCAACTTAAGGAGACAGAGTGTTACACACTTCTCTGCGCTTCCATTTCAGCTTTTACCAAAACTTCATAGTGACGGCGTCTGCCCCCCCGACCATTTAAATTAATTAAATCAAAGATAAACTGAAGAGGAGCTGTGCATAAAACTGTAATAAAAGTTAAAACCACTGCTGTAATAGTATAAAAGAAATTAAAGGTGTAAATGTATAAATAAATAACAGAATATGATGCAGTATTTAGCTGCAATTTTTGGACAATGCACGTTTGTTTTTTCTATATTTAAATTGCAAATAAACGTTTCTCAAAGCATTTTTATTTGTTAGTTCACATTTCTTGGTGCAAGCTATTTTTCAGAACATTATTAACAAATGCTCTCAAAAAGTGATGTGGACAAAATCAGGCATTTCAAAATGTGGTGGGGACACATGTCCCCAGTGTAAATGACATGTTCATTCCACATTCAGACTTAAGAGCACATGAACACAGAAAAACTCAGAAGAATGACTTCACAACTCTGGAAATGGGACGATCTGAGTTTTAGTTACCCACTAGATGAAACTAAAACTTAAGTGTTTTTATCTGCTTTAAAACACGTCTGGTTGTTAGACCGGTTCAGAAGCAGCTCTGCATGACGACTGTTGGAGCCTTTAGATCTTTTTCACAGCAGACGTGTTTAATTGTCAGGACTCTGAAACTGAAGCAGCTAAATGGAATCCAGCCATCATTAATTGTTCAATTTAAACCTGTTTTCCTGCTGTGCTGTGTCAAAATGTCTTGTATGAAAAAAACAGATGTGTGTGTTTTGGTCAGGTTAGTATTGAATCTGGATATTTTCCCCTTCAGGCCAGTAGGGGCTGATTAATGTTATTGTGCAGGTCCTGACTGGGACATAATATAATGCTCCTGAACACTGAGTTGTTTTAGATCGAGGGAAGTTTCATCAACTGCAACAAGTCAAACTTTAAGTTCTCTGCATCTCACACTGTGAAATCATCTGTGTTTGTTTACTGAAGCCATCAGTTAGCAGCAAGCCAGTAGGACTGTCAACAAATCCCACGAAAAGTACTATTAAAACCAGTCAGTGACCTTCACTGCTGCACTGGGTGACACGTTCTGAAGAAAACAACATTTATCTTAACCAACAATCTTCACACGTCAACTTCCTCTTCTTCTTCTTTTAAGGAGATGAAACTCATCATTGTCACAAATACACCGGACTGAACAAACTGTGAACTTGAGCCTTAATATAGTTTGTTTGTTTCAGTGTTAGTTTGGCTCAGTGCAGAAACATATTCCTTTGTCTCGTGATCAGTGACTTTGTCGTATGTGTTTGTAGATGGTGGATCTTTGTCAGGCTGCTGTGACCTCTGACCTCTGACATCTTTACTGTTGGCTGCATCTCATACTGCTGATCAAGAATTTGGGGTCTCCGTCAGTCACTGTGGGTGAGAGATGTTACGACCCCTCCCCCTTCCTGCTTCCTTCTCCTGCAGGAGGCTGCAGGCAGGGAGGCTGATTGGGCAATCACCTGTGCAGCTCTCTTCAGAGCTTATTTAGCCAGGACTGATCAGTCTTTTGTTCTCTCTCCTCCTAAGTCAGCGTCTGACTGGGTTTGTTTTGTGTCTTTTTGGTTTATCCTGACCACACACACACACACACACACACACACACACACACACACACACACACACTCATCCATTCACTGCTGACACAACTGATATTCATACTTTTCCACACAACATATTTTTGGTGATCATTTGACCCTTCTTTTACTTTTATTATAAATCCTACCATTTGCGTGCAAACCTGTTGTGTCTCACCTCCTTTTTGTCACGGGCTAAGAGCTGGCTTGTGACAAGTGGGGGCTCGTCTGGAACTTGTTGTTATTTGGTGTTGATCGGCTTGTTTTGTGTAGCATTCAGCTATTTTGGTATTTGTTTACCAGTCTGTGAGGTAAATGTCAGGTTTGGTTAGGTCAGTTAAAGCTCCGTAGGAGAGAGGTTCATGGTCCTTTTGTCAGTGGTTTAGCTCTGCTGGCTGAATTTGTTTTGTTGGACCTTAGCTGGGTTTTCTAGTGTGAGCAGGAGAACTTTCCCCTGTTAGGCTTAACAGCGATTTCCCTTCGTGGTGTGGTGGTTTAGGTGGCGGTGAACGTGGGTAGAGCTTTGCTCGGGAGCACCTCCGCGGCTGTGACGGGGTCACTGGCTTTCTGGTTGCCCTTTTTCACCCCACTGGTTTCGAGTGCATAAGTACCCTCCACAATTAGCTGCACGAAGACTAGGGGGGAGTTGGCTAGATAGTCATTGTTGAAGTTAGCATGGGTATAGGGGGAGTCTTCTGCTCAGGTAGCCCAGGGTTTTATCTGTAATGGAGGGCGTAGTGCATCATTTAAAACTGACACCTGCCGATATTGTCGTGCCAACGGTCATTGGAAGAATGATGCCCCGTGTTGAAAGTAGACAGGCTGTTTCTTCAACCATACAATTTAGACATACGCCATTTTAATGCCATGTGTTTCTTTTCCTATTCCTCTTCTTTCATTGTTTGTTTCCCTGTTCTTCCTCTTAAAGTGCTTGTCTGGTACTGAGGTTGCAGAACTGGTGTGATGGGAGAATGAAAAACACACAGACGTGACTGTTTCATTTATTTATTTTATTTTAATATATTTTTTATTTTTTTAACACACACACACACTTACAGTTTTCTTTATTTATTTTATTTTAATTAATTTTTATATATATATATACTTTTTATTAACAGACACACTTACTGTTTTATTTATTTTATTTTTAAAAAATTTTTAACACACACACAAACACACACACGCTTACTGTTTTATTTATTTATTTTATTTTTAATATATTTTTATTTTTTAACACACACACGCTTACCATTTTCTTTCTTTATTTTATTTAAATTTTTAATAGACATATTTTTTTTAAACACACACACACGCTTACTGTTTTTGTATTTATTTTATTTTTAATATATTTTTAGTTTTTTAAACACACACACACACACACAGACACACACACACACACACATACACACACTTACTGTTTTATTTATTTATTTTATTTCAATTTTTAATATCTATATGTATTTTTGTTTAAACACACACACGCTTACTATTTTATTTATTTATTTTATTTTTAATATATTTTAATTTTTAACACACACACACAGGCTTACTGTTTTATTTATTTATTTTATTTTATTTTTAATATATTTTATTTTTTTAAACACACACATACACACACACACACACGCGTACTATTTTATTTTATTATTAATATATTTTTTTTAACACACACACATGCTTACCGTTGTATTTATTTATTTATTTTTAATATATTTTTAGTTTTTTAACACACACACACACACACACACACACACACACACGCTTACCATTTTATTTATTTATTTTATTTTCATTAAATCTTTTTTATATATATATTTTTTAACACACACGCTTACCGTTTTATTTATTTTATTTTTTAATTTTTTTTAACACACACACACTTACTGTTTTATTTATTTATTTAATTTTTAATTATTTTTTTAAACACACACACACGCTTACTGTTTTATTTATTTGTTTTATTTTTAATATATTTTCTTTTAACATACACACACACACACGCTTACCATTTTATTTATTTATTGTATTTTAATTTTTAATACTTTTTTTTAAACACACACATGCTTACTGTTTTTGTATTTA